AGTTATTCTTTTAAAAAGTTAATTGCGCTGGCCAAAAGATGAAACCGACTATTAGTCGAGTATTGCTGGGCAGTATGTCAAGCTAATGGGATTTATCCCTCCTCTTGCGAATGTTTGAACCATAGACGTCCAAACTCCGTGGCCTGCGGGGATTCGGTGTTTTGAGGTGTTAGTGATTTATTCAAATGTTGTTTAATGGGATCAATATTTGATGTATAAATTCAAAACTACTTGACTGAATAAAGACTATGTTTGCATGATCCCAGGAATTCAAAATGTCTTTCAATCCGTTGTCCGTAATTCTCAAAGAAAACAAACTTGTTGGTCCCAATTATATTGACTGGAAAAGGAACTTGGATATAGTTTTAACTACTGAAGGGTATAAATTTGCTACTGTTGAGGCTTGTCCGGCTGTGCCTGCTGACAATGTACCGGACCAAGAGAAAGAGGAGTATGCTCGGTGGAAAAAGGCTGACGAGATGGCGAAGTGTTACATCTTGGCATCTTTGTCAAATGTACTTCAACATCAACATCAGTCTATGAACACTGCAGCAGAGATGCTTCTCAATCTCAAGAAGTTATTTAGTCATCAGTCGGGGGCTGCCCGACAAGAAGCCATGAGGGTTCTGATGAACATGACCATGTGCGAGGTCACTCCCGTAAGGGAACATGTTCTTGCTATGATGGCCCAGCTGAATGAGCTGGAGGTTCTTGGGGCTTTTATTGACGGGGAAACCCAGGTCGATATAGTGCTCCAGTCTTTGCCGAAGAGCTTCGAGCAATTCCGGTTGAATTACAACATGAATAAGATGTTGATGACTCATCCGGAACTTGTTGCTGAGCTTCAGGCGGCAGAGGGCCTGTTTCGTCAGAAGACCCAAGCCATGGTGGCCCAGCGGGGAGAAGCTTCCACTTATACGGCTCCTAAGGGCAATAAGAGGAGGAAGTCCGCAGGAAAGGGCAAGGCGGACATGAGTGACGCGCAACCTCGACAAAAGGCAAAGAAGCCGAAAGTCAAGTGCTACATCTGTCAGCATAAAGGACACTGGAAGGCAAACTTCCCTCTTCCCAAGAAACCCGAAAAAGGTACTTCTTTTGCTTTAGTCATTGAAACATGTTTACCGGTGTTATCTACCAGTACCTGGTGTGTAGATACAGGGGCCACTGATCATGTCTGCAATTCATTGCAGGGGTTCCAGGAAACCAAGCGACTTAGGGAAGGAGAAGTTACCATCTACTTGGGCGATGCTAGTAGAGCGTCAGCAGTTGCAGTGGAAGACGTCTATTTAGATTTTGGCTTAGATAGGTTTCTAGTTTTGAAAGATTGTCTTTATGTTCCCAGTTTTAGAAAGAATTTGATTTCAGTTTCTAAGTTGTTTATGAACGGTTTTTCCGCTACGTTTGATAATAAAGTTATTATTCGTTTTGGCAAAAAGTTCATATGCTCTGGTTCATTAGTTGACAATCTATACATTCTAGAATCTAAATCATCTCCACTGCAATAGAAACAATTACTTAATTCATCATCTAATCTGAATAAGAGAAAGGAACCTTCTAAAATGAACGAAACATATCTTTGGCATCTAAGACTTGGTCATATTAACCTTAGAAGGATTCAAAGGTTGGTAGCACACGGGCCCTTGGGGTCATTAGAAGTCGAGGCTTTTCCAACTTGTGAGTCCTGCCTGGAAGGTAAAATGACTAAGAGGGTTTTGAGTTCAAAGGGGCATAGAGCCGAAGACGTGTTAGGGCTAGTTCATTCCGATCTATGTGGTCCTATGAGTATTTAAGCGAGAGGTGGTTTCGAGTACTTCGTTACGTTTATCGATGGTTACTCGAGATATGGGTACATTTTCCTTCTGCACCGCAAGTCTGAATGCTTTGAGAAGTTCTTAGAGTATAAGGCAGTTGTGGAGAAGCAGTTAGGAAAAAGTATCAAGTCATTACGATCCGATCGTGGTGGCGAATATCTCTTGAATGAGTTTAGGAGCTACTTGACGGATAATGGGATTACGTCCCAGCTGACTACGCCTGGCACGCCTCAGCCAACTGGGTACGCTGGCCTACGCTGCTCGCGCGCACTAGTGCGACTAGTGCCATACAGGCGCTTCCGGGCGACCCTGACGGGCACGGCGCTCGGGCATTCTGTCGGGCACTGGTCGGGGCCTACTATGCACGCTGGCACGCTGCGGGGCGCGCTGGCATGAACTGGGACTCGCCAGCGTGCGTCGAGGCATTGTGATGAGAGATCGTGTTTCTTGCCTACTGTAGACAATCAAATTTTGAGCCAATAAAATGGCGACAAGTGTCAAAATCCATTTCATAGTCAATTTAATAATTTTCTATTTTATTTGGGAAATTAATCAAATTTTACTTCCTAAATTAAATAGTTAATTAATTGATATTTAATATATATTGTTGGCCAGTTAAAGAATACCACATGTATATTTTGAGGGCCAAATAAAGAATGTCACATGTCATTTTGTTTGAGAGTAAAATAAATATTTATTTCTTTTATTAATTATTAAAGAGATAAATAAATGAAAATTCATGGACCAATCAAATTGAAGTCTTCTTTTTCAAGACTCTCTCTCCCAACACCTATAAATAGGGGCTCTCCCTAAGCTGAAAAATCACAATTCATATTCAAGTCCACAATTCATATTCAAGTTTCAAGTTCAAGAGCTCTAGAGAATTCTCTCCACGAGATTCAAGTGTTCTTGAAAATCCAAAGGCGTTCTTGAAGATCCGAAGGAAGATTCAAGCACGTTCAAGCCCAAAATCGACGTTCAATCCGGAAACAAGCTGCCAAGCCTCCGAATTGCGTTACTAAAGTCAAGTGTTCTTGAAGATTCAAAGGCGTTCTTGAAGATCTGAAGGAAGATTCAAGCGCGTTCAAGCCCAGAACCGACGTTCAATTTGGAAACAAGATGCCAAGCCTCCGAATTACGTTATTAAAGTCAAGACCGGCGTAGAGAAGATCAAAATCAACTTTGCAGCGAAGACCAAGGACTCGTGTTCTTCGTGTGCTTGGGAAATCACAACGTTCGATTTCAGATCAAGCTATCAAGCCCTCGAAGAAACGTTATTCAAATCCAAATTCAAGACTAGCGGAGATCAAACTGAAGATTCGTCTCCAAAAGTCTCAAATCCATTTGAAGATCGCTCTTGAAGAAATTAATCAGAGGAATAATAGAGATTTGTAATCCACTATATTTCTTTTGATCCGTTGAAAATCAATTTGTACGAATTTCTCGTGTTTATTAATTCAATAATACGAAATTTTGCGTTACAAATTTCTGGCACGCCCGGTGGAACAATCTCTACCTCTCATCTCTTTTCTTCAAGATATCTAAGTGCAACGATGACTCCTCCCAAGTCAACTTCTTTAAGTTCTGCAAGTGAAAGTGTTGGTGTCATAACAAGAAGCATGCAGTGTATCTCTGGAAGGAAATTCTCACCAAGTTGAGGAAAATCGGCCACCTTTGATGAACCAAGAGGAAGATTTGAGAGACGATGCTTCATCAACACCTTTCTCAATGGAGGCACATGTTATGATGACGAACGCATCAACCATTGAAGAGCAACTTGCAACCATGGCAAAAACAATGGAGTCACTAATGAAACATGTCCAAAATCAAGACTCCACAATTTTAAAGTTGCTAGAAAGGGTCGACAAAGCTGAGACTAGCCGAGCTGGGGGCAAGCAAGATGAAACACATGAGGAAGAAAAAACTTCTAAAGAAGATGAGGTGAAACAAACTGAAAAAGAGAAGTCTTTGTCAGAAATCCATGTTTCTTCAAGTGGACTCATACCAGCTGACCAACTCAAATAATTCATCATGGGAACCATCAAGGACAAATTTGATGGAGGCTCCAAGTCATCTTTGACTTATTCAAAGCCATACACCAAAAGGATTTATAGCTTGAAGATTCCTACTGGATATCAACCACCGAAATTCCAACTGTTCGATGGTAAAGGTAGCCCGAAACAGCACATAGCTCACTTCATTGAGACTTACAACGATGCTGGAACATATGGCGATCGTCTGGTGAAGCAGTTTGTTTGATCATTAAAGGGAAATGCGTTCGAGTGATACACCGACTTCGAGGCGAATTCCATTGATAGCTGGGAGCAACTAGAGCAAGAGTTTCTCAATCGCTTCTACAGCACACGAAGGACGACCAGCATGATTGAGCTTACTCATACAAAGCAGTGGGATGAAGAGCCTGTTATTGACTACATCAACCGATGGAGAAATCTAAGTCTCAATTACAAAGATCGACTGTCTGAAGCTTCAACTATTGAAATGTGTACTCAAGGGATGCACTCCGATACATTCTGCAATGGATTCAGCCGATGTCGTTTGAAGAACTAGCCACTCGTGCACATGATATGGAGTTAAGCATGTCTACAAGCGGGGTCAAGAATCCACTTGTCCATGAGCCTCAAAGATTCAAGGACTGAAATGAAGCCAAGAAAGGGGACAACTTTTCCTCTAGAACACCTAACAAAGAGGTAAAGGAGACAATGGCGGTTAGTGCAAGACCCATCAAACTCAAGGGAAACACAAGCGAAAAAGCTATGGAAAAGAAAGAAATTCCTCAAGAATGGGGGCAAAGAAAGTTAACTCTGAAGGAGATGCAAGCCAAACAATATCCTTTTCTTGACTCTGATGTTTGTGGAATTTTTGACGACTTGATTCGGGAACAACTTATCGAACTGCCGGAAATGAAATGACCTGAAGAAGCAGAACAAGTTGACAACCCAAAATACTGCAAGTATCATCGTCTGGTGAGTCACTCCATCGAAGATTGCTTTGTCTTCAAAGATAGAGTTATGCAGCTGGCACGACAAGGCAAGATACTTGAAGAAGACAAAGGGACTGCGAACTTTGCTTCAATTGTGACCTGCGAGGAAGGATATGAAAGTTTCGCTTGTAATGTGACGAGCGAACAAAATGATGTCCCAAATGATGAGGAGTCGACTGATGACAAAGAACGATTGATCCTGAAGACAATGATGCAGCAGTAACTTTTACAGATGAAGACCTGATGTTGGGCTCAAAACCTCATAATAGGCCTTTATTCGTAACTGGTTACACTCGCGAGAAAAAGGTGAATCGCATACTGATAGATGGAGGTTCTGCTGTGAACATTTTGTCTCTGCGTACTTTAAAAGAGCTGGAGGTCCCGACAGATGAACTCTCAAATAGTCGGTTGATGATTCAAGGCTTTAACCAAGGGGGGCAACGAGCTCTAGGCATAATTAGATTGAAGTTAGTAATTGGGGAGATGACTTCAAATGCTCTTTTCCATGTGATAGATGCCAAAACCTCTTATAACATGTTATTAGGGCGTCCTTGGTTGCATGAGTATGGAGTGGTGCCTTCTACTTGGCATCAATGTTTCAAATACTGCCAAGATGGTGTAGTAAGAAAGGTTCTTGGAGACGATAAGCCTTTTACTCAAGTCGAGTCTTATTTTGCTGATGCTAAGTATTATTTTGAAGAGGTTAAGGCTGTTGGCACTAAAGACGTTCCCATCAAACAACCAAATGGAGCCAAAGAGAAGAAAGCCAACAATCTTGCTGGGAATGATCCTCTTGATGGGCTGGTGTTGCCGTTATCTAGTCTCGATGCCAAGAAACCAACCACGCAACCCCTGGGAAAGTTTGTCTGCCCAATCGAAAGAGCTAAGACGGAGCACGGGGGGAGCTTCAAAACTCTAAGTATTACGACCCAAAAGCATATAAACTTCTTGTCAAATCTGGATACGATCCAAAAGAAGTGAGTACTTTGGGAACACTTATTCCGCAAGCAGCAAAAACTCAAAAGAGGGATTCTGGAGTGGCAAAAACTAGAGTTGGTCTCGGATTTGCAGCACCAAATCCAGTTCGGATCGCCATAAAACGAGTTAATTCTAATCATGTGCCGAAGAAGGATTTTCATCCACTGATCATTTGAAGCATAGAGAAAGAAGATCGGTATTTGAAAGGCTCGGACCCATTCAAGAGTCCAAAAGAACTAGTCATCAAAGACTTGCTATTCGAAGGATGGTAAGATACAGGAAGATAGAGAGAAAGTTCCACGAGCTTCGAAACATGATACCGTCATGAATGAAGAGACAAACCACATTGATTGTTTCATATGGTAATGTCTTACAGGCGAAGATGCAAACAACCGTGCACACGAGAGTAAAGGGTGAAGTAGAATGTGATGGAGAAAGCGTCGCTTCGACTAATCAAGTGAGTACTGTTTCCCCAAGAGAAAATCCTCGAAACATCGGAAGATCCTTGTGTTGAACAATCGTTGCATTGGTGAGGAAATCATTAATAAAAGCAATACCACTTTGCATTTGCCTCGTGTCGTAAGAAGAAACGGACGAGTTAGAACATGCGTTGATTTTAAGCGTCTTGATAGCCCTGCTGAAGATGTAGCATATGTAAACCATATCACCATATGTGAAGATACCCAAGAAAATGAAGAAGACGCTGAGGATGCCCCTGCTGAGCTTGAAGAAGGAGTTGAGGCTACGGTTGATGAGCTAAAAGAGATCAACTTAGGAGACATGGAAAATCCTCGGCCAACTTATATAAGCGCACTTTTGACTAGTGATGAGGAGGAGGCTTATATCAAGCTGCTTCGTGAATATAAAGATGTGTTCGCTTGGTCATACAAAGAAATGCCTGGGTTAAATCCGAAAGTGGCAGTGCACAATTTGTCCGTGAGAAAGGGGGCACGACCTGTTAAGCAAGCTCAACGACGCTTTCGGCCCGATTTGGTTCCATTGATTGAAGTTGAAGTAAACAAGCTCATCGAGGTCGGGTTCATTCGAGAAGTCAAGTATCCCACATGGATCTCAAGCATTGTTCCTGTGAGAAAGAAGAATGGTCAAGTTAGAGTTTGCGTCGACTTTCGAGATTTAAATGAAGCATGCCCAAAAAACGATTTTCCATTGCCCATTACTGAACTCATGATTGATGCAACTACGGGTTACGAGGCGTTATCTTTCATGGATGGGTCATCCGGGTACAACCAGATACGCATGTCGCCTAGAGATGAAGAATTGACTGCATTCTGCACGCGAAAAGGGATATACTGCTACAAGGTGATGCCATTTGGGTTGAAAAATGCTGGAGCTACATACCAACGAGCCATGCAAAGGATTTTTTATGATATGCTTCACAAAAGCATTGAATGTTATGTTGATGATGTGGTTGTGAAGTCAAGAAAGCGAGAAGATCATCTTGAAGATTTGAAAAGGGTTTTCGAACGGTTAAAGAGGTATCAACTCAAGATGAATCCACTCAAGTGTGCGTTTGGCATCAAGTCTGGAAAATTTCTTGGGTTCATTGTCCGTCATCATGGGATAGATATCGAGCAAGCGAAGATTGATGCTATATTGAGAATCCCTGAACCTCGTGATATTCATGAACTCAAAGGCTTACAAGGAAAACTGGCGTACCTTTGAAGATTCATATCGAATTTAGCCGGCCGTTGTCAACCGTTCAGCCGTCTTATGAAGAATGGTGTTCCATTTGAATGGGATAAGTCTTGCAAGAATGCTTTTGAAAGCATAAATGCGTACTTGATGAAGCCTCCCGTGCTGGTTGCCCCTGTGCCCGATCGTCCGTTGATTCTTTACATAGCCGCTCAAGAACGTTCCGTTGGGGCTTTGTTGGCTCAAGAGAACAATGATGGAAAAGAAAGTGCTTTATATTACCTTAGTAGAATGATGACGCCAAACGAATTGAACTACTTACCCATCGAGAAGATATGTCTTGCGTTAATCTTTGCAATCCAAAAGTTAAAGCATTACTTTCAAGCTCATACAGTTCGTCTCGTCTCAAAAGCCAACCCGCTTAAGTATGTTATGAGGAGGCCGGTACTTTCAGATAAACTTGCAAGGTGGTACCTTCAATTGCAGCAATTTGAGATCATCTATGTCCCTCAAAAGGCTGTAAAAGGTCAAATATTAGCGAACTTCTTGGCTGATCACACTATCCCTGCTGAATGGGAACTTTCTGATGAGTTACCCGACGAAGATGTGATGGTCGTTGAAGTAACTCCGCCATGGAAGATGTATTTTGATGGAGCAGCCCATCGAGAAGGGACCGATGCTGGAGTCGTATTTGTGACATGTCATGGAGAAGTTTTACTTTACTCGTTTACTTTGATCGAAAATTGCTCAAATAATGTCGCCAAGTATCAAGCTCTTATACTTAGGTTAGAGATGGCAGTTGATATGAACCAATTGCGTTTGAATGTATATGGAGACTCTAAAATTGTGGTTAATCAATTACTTGGAGAGTACGAGGTGAAGAAACCTGAGTTGCTTCCATGTGTGAACTACGCCAAGAGACTTATAGGATGGCTTGGAGATGTGACCATTGATCATGTACCGAGAAAAGATAACAAGCAAGCCGATGCACTCGCAAAGCTTGCTTCGTCGCTCACCTTGCCTGAAGATAAGGCCCATGTTCCTGTCTGTAGGAATTGGTAGTGCCACCAATCTTTGATGATGAAGAAGATGATGAGAAAGATGAAAACCACGTCGTTGAAGTTTTGGAGATTGAAAAGGAAGATTTGCGTCAGCCTCTTGTTGACTACTTGAAGTATGAGAAGTTACCTGACAATCTGCGAAAGAGAGTTGATGTGCGGCGGCGAGCACCTCGCTTTATTTATTACAAAGGAACTCTCTATCCACGATCCTTTGATGGAGTCTTTTTGAGATGTTTGGGAGATGATGAAGCGATTCAAGCTATGGAGGAAGCTCATTCTGGAATTTGTGGTGCTCATCAATCAGGCCCGAAGCTACATTTTCGGATCAAGAGAATGGGGTACTATTGGCCGACGATGGTTAAAGATTGTATGGACTAGGCCCAAAGATGTCAGCCATGTCAATTTCATGCAAACTTCATTCACCAATCACCCGAGCCGTTACATCCCAATGTTGGTTCATGGCCATTTGATGCGTGGGGTCTTGATGTGGTTGGACCTATGACAAAGTCTTCTGGTGGTCACCTATATATTTTGGCTGCAACGGATTATTTTTCTAAGTGGGCTGAAGCAGTGCCTCTCAAAGAAGTGTAGAAAGAAAATGTCGCTGATTTCATCCGCCTTAATATTATCTATCGATATGGGATCCCTCGATATATAATAACGGATAATGGAAAGTCGTTTTCAAACAGCCATATTGACAAGCTTTGGAAAAAATATGGTTTCAAGCAACGAAAGTCCTCTATGTATAATGCTGCGACTAATGGACTTGTTGAAGCATTCAATAAAAACTTGTGCAATTTGTTGAAAAAGGTAGTTGTAAAATCGAAACGAGATTGGCATGAGAGAGTTGGAGAAGCCTTGTGGGCATACCGAACCACTTTTAGGACGCCGACTCAAGCCACTCCTTATGCACTTGTCTATGGCGTAGAAGCAGTTGTTCCCCTCGAGCAGCAAATTCCATTATTGAGGATAGCATTGCAAGAAGGATTGACAGAAGAAGAAAATGCACGCCTTCGCCTTGAGGAGTTGGAGGTTCTCGATGAGAAAAGACTAGAAGCTCAACAACGACTGGAATGTTACCAAGCACGTCTTTCTAAGGCTTTTAAAAAGAAAGTTCGATCGCGCTCCTTTCAAGTGGGTGATTTGGTTCTTGCTGTGAGAAGACCGATTGTGATGACACATCGTGTTGGGAATAAGTTCACGTCAAAGTGGGATGGTCCATATGTTGTGAGCGATGTCTATACCAATGGCGCCTACAAGGTGGTAGCCGAAGATGGTTTGGTAGTTGGTCATATCAACGGGAAGTTTTTGAAACGCTATTATGCGTGATGTACCTGCATGTACCTTTCCTTTAAAAAAAAATCCAAAAAAAAAAAGAAGAAAAAAAAAACTCCTGACCTGCATGAGTATAAACTGTGAACGGTAATCACCAAAAAGCTTTGCATGTGATTAAACTGCTAAATTCTCCACCAATGTGAATATATGTGGTTAAACTGTTAATTCTCTCACGCATAAAAGTAAATAATAATAAGAAAAAAAAGAGAGCATGAAACAGCTCCAAAACAGCCCCGACCCAGCCCAAACAGCTCCAAAATAGCCCCGGCTCGCCCAAACACTCCAAAACAGCCCCGGCTCAGCCCAAACAGCTCAAAAACAGCCCCGGCTAGCCCAAACAGCTCCAAAACAGCCCTGGCTCTGCCCAAGCAGCTCCAAAACAGCCCCAGCTCAGCCCAAACAGCTCCAAAACAACCCCGGCTCAGCCCAAACAGCTCCAAAACAGCCCCGGCTCACCCGAACAGCTCCAAAACAGCCCCGGCTCAACCCAGACAGTTCCCGAACACACTCGTTTCAATCCAGAAAGCTCCCGAACACGCTCGTTTCAATCCGGACAGCTCCCGAACACGTTCGTTTCAATCTGGATAGCTCCCGAATCTCCTGCGTTTCAGTCGGACAGCCATGCGAGCATCT